ACCATCATTTCCAGCCCAGAACGCGTTCCTCTCTCTGAAAGAAACCTTCTGAGAAATCCATTCACGCATCCAAACTCGTATTTTCAATCTAGCTTTCATCCAGCCACAGGTTTGCCTTTCAAAACAAGTTTAATATCAAAGCTGTTAAAAATTGTCATTAAATTGTCATCCATGAATTGTCGTTTATAATTGTCATTCAAATCGTTAAGTTGAAAAAATGTTAGTAATAAAATTCTTCATTTTTTAAACTTGCCTCATTCTTTGAAATGAAACACAGAAAGGTATAATTATTTCTGGTTATTGAAAAATCAAAGATTCCTAACTTCTGCTTCAAAATAAACTTTTGCTATTAAATTTAATTATCTTAAATTAAACATTAATCCTTGGATTAAAAATAGACCAAGTGAATAAGTGTATGAGCTTCTATTGATTATATAAGTATCTTGGATATTTACACATGATATAAGCTCGTATGCTAATCTGCTCGGTCATTCTCAGAATTAACAACTGATAGCAAACAGTGTTGATTCTAGTATGTAGTTAATCCTACAGGAGACACTAGACAATATATTGTTTGCATAATGATTTCTAATTATTGAACAAAAAAAGGATTTGAATTCCTTCAAAAAACATGAAACTGAGTTTCAGCCGCAGCCGCTGAGAGCGAGGGGGGAGGGGGGTGGAACCGCGAGCTTCCACTGGGTGACTCCTATGAGCTGAAACCCATGAGGGAGGGGGTGAGTGACTCAAATGTGCCGTTAGCAAAGCGATGCTACTGTGAACCAGGAGCGGTTCTAGCATCAGAGGTTATGGGGTGCTGAGCACCCAGATATCTACCCAGTCAGCCAAGACAAATTTCAACATTTTCTACATTTTAACACACTTTCATTTTCACATTCATGAGAGAAAACAAAAACACAGTTGTCACTAATCAAATTACAGTTTTACACATCACAGTACCGTATATATTAGTGTTCCTCAAAAGGTGGCCCGCAGGCCCCCGAACCCCCGCTCACACCCCAAGACGACGGGCGAACGGGGGGTGTGCTGTTGCGTAGAGGGCGGTGTAATGAACCACCAGCAGCGCTATGCAAATGGATCACAGACCCCAGGTTGGGAACCACTGGCCCAGGTGTTGTAGTTTCAAAATGTGTGCAGATTAAAGATTAAAGAGGCTCAATCGGTGGAAATATTGTTGGAAAATGCCCTTTAATACTTGGAAACCTGAAGTTGAAGCAAATTTAAACCTTTTCTGAGTTTCTACAATAGAATGACCCTAAAAGTATCAGTAATAATTTTAGATCAACCTCTTTTCACCTAATTTTCCACCAATATCAACATCCTATTGAAATAAAAACCCAAACTTTTTAGATAGTTTTTCTCTTTTTCTTCTTAATTTGAAAACCTAACAAAAATAAAGCCAATCTCCTACAGCAGATATAGGGGAGAGGAAACAACAATCACTGGCTTTGATCTCTGATAAAAGTTAGATTTAAACTTAATATTCTGACTTTTTATCTCAGAATAAATAATCAAGGCTTTGATTAAATGATTTTAACAGTTCTAAAGGGTTTTTCTATGAAACAACACAAGCACAGTGTCTGTGTTAGCACTTTACGGGCTTCTGTAGCAGCAGCCGGTCTGATCACTGAGGAACCTGAGCAGCTTCAACCCTTCAGTCTTTATTATAACTCATCTCCCATTGGTCCAGGATCACTCTGTCGTTTCCTTTTGGTTTGGAGGTTTGTGAGCGGCGAAAGCTCTGGACCTGCGTCAAAGCCCCGCCTCCTAGCTTGATTGACAGCCGCTTTTTTCGCCTCACAGTCAGTTCATACAAGATTCAAAGATGAAATGGGAGACAGTCAAAAATGGCTGATGGTGTCTCAGTTAGCAGGGCCTGAGAAAGTAATGTAAATAGCAGGAACCTTGGTCACTCTAACAGCAGCGTATCAGCCAATCAGGAAGGCTCAGAGCCTGGAAAGGTGAGCAGGATCCAACCATTTTTGAGACGGGGAGATTTGCTGTATTTATTTTTTAAAACCTAATATTTATTCCTGTGGTTTGTTTGTTATATATTACTGATGTGTTCAAAATCAGCAGAAACAGTGAAAATAAAAAGATATAAATGTTTTATTAAATGTTAACTTTAGGGGTGCTGGGGTTGAATAAAAACAGGCTAGAAACGCCGTGCTGTGAACTCATGAGCTTGCAACCCAGAAAAGATGAGAAAACGCTTTCAACAAACTCCCTGTTTCATGCAACAGCTTTAAGGGTGAACCACAAATATTTCTACTAATGAAATTAGAACAGGCATGAGTCAGTTAATGAGTCAGTTCGGGTTGTAGATCGGGATTCGCGAGTCAGTAAAGTGATTCTCGAGTACTGAACGGTTCGTTCATGACTCGCACAACACTAGTGCTGAGTCGGGTCACACAGGATTTCATTCCTTGCCTTCCTCTCTCGCTGGCTTTTTCAAAGTTAGGAGATGTATGAGCGCACTAGTGAGCTGGTGGTGAACTTTGTGAAGAGTTGGTACTTTGACTCTGATTTGGTGCCAAAAACCAACTCCTCTAGAGGTGAATAGCCGACACCAGTGTCGGAGTTAAAATAGTAACTCTAACTCAAAATTACATTTTAGAATTAAGTGTTACAGGTCATTTAGTTTAAGAACAACTGTTCATTGAACTAACCAATGTGTTGCCAGAGGCGGTTTTACCATTAGGCATAGGTAGGAGGCCGCCTGGGGGCCCCTTGTGTTGGGGGGGCCCCCTTGCCCTGACCGCGGGCATCCCTCTGTTAATGCCACAATATTCTTATTACCAACCTGTCGCCGCTGACGGGATTGGACATGATTCTCATTACCATAATCCCTGAACCGTTCAAGATATCATTAAAATTCCAAAAGTGCTTAAAAGATTAAAAATGGGGCTTTTCGTGCATATACAATACATTACGGTAGCCAGCGGGATTCCCTGTCTTGAGCGCACCGAATCACAACAAAGATTCAGAGACGTGCTGAGTTTGTCGTCCAAAATGCTCCGTTTTATAACTTTTGAATGGCTGATCAGATTCAAATAATTCCAACGGTTCCTAAAAGTACATATAAGCAGCTTTCCAACGATCTATAGCATGAAGCAATCAGAGTTAGGGAAAATATCGCTACGAGGGGAAATCCTGCTGTACAGCCTGATTGAAACGGAGCGCAGCGCCGCGGTGAAAGCGGATAACGGAACAGGGAAGCTAATCAGCATAAAAGCCAGCATGAAATTATGGAAATGCCTCAAAGAAAATCAACACGATCTGTTAGGTGTCCCAGAAGGCTTATATCTGAAGACAGTGACCACGAAGAAGGACAGATCTCCGGTGAACCAGGGTATGAACGTTTGTTCAGTCTTTATTTTTTTATTTTTTTATTTGAACAACCCTCAACTATTTGCTAATTGTAAGATTCAGCATCATTCCAGCATTATTTATCTTTTTACAATAAATAATTATTTTTGCTAAAACAAAAGTTTTTGGTATAGCAGTGCACGGTGTGCCAGAGAAGCACCCCATGGCAGTGTGAGGTGTGCAGGACTCTGCCTGCAGCTGGAGAGAAACTGCTTCAGGGTCTACCACATCAAATAAAAACATCTGAAAGTTTACAAAAATAAATGGTCTTAAAAACTGCTAAAAAAGATACCAAGGTTCACACTTTTTAAGAATAGATGTATTACAGATGAAAGTTGCCCAGTAATTTTGAAGTTCCTGTTCAGTAATAAATGTAAAAAAATCAAATCCGTTTTTTGGTTTTTTCACTTTTAAGCTGATTTTTTAAAGGCTTTAATAGAAATAAATTCTAAATACAAACCATACACTGAAAACGGAGGTTGTTCTGAAAAAGTTACACACACTTTGCACTTTTTATTACAATTTTACAGCCATAAGATTAAAAACATACCAGACAGCCCTGTTATAATTATGGTCATAAGAGGGTTATTAAGATGGCGATGCACAAACAGGAAGTGATTGGTAGTCATTCCACTCCAATCCAGTTGGTGGCGGTAATGCACCAAACTGTTGTTTGCCAAGTCCCATAAGACCACAAATAAGAAGAAGAAGAGAGGCGGGAGCGTTCGTAACAACTCAAAGCGATAGTCAAAACATTCAGCATGACATGGAGTTATCCTAGTGGCTCCAGTAAGAGAACGAAGCAGCTTGCTTCATAAAAGCTTTTATTTTCACTTCTGAAAGTGACGTCGTTTTTCGATGTAAACATCAAAAGGAAGCAGAAAGGAAAGACAATGGAAAATGTTTAAAGGGAGGAAACCATAGACCAAAATGGAAAATAGAAAAAATAAATAACTAAAGCTGAAGCACAGGAGCCCTGACAGGAAGAAGAAAGCAGAGCAAATATTGAAAGCGCTCAAAGGGAAATACAGGAAAAAAGAGGAGGACTAATAAAAAGGGAAAATAACTCGTGTCAGAAGAGGGGAGAGTTTCACAAATCCAGTTACAGGTAAGATTGTCGAAAATTTTGTGTAAGGGGCCCCATGTCTGTGTTCACCTTGGGCCCCCAAATTGCTAAATCCGCCCCTGCGTGTAACCAACGTGAGAAATTGGATGAAATAAAAGTTAAACTAAAGTAAAAAATGAAGTTAAACTAAAGTGAAAATAAGTTCCTGGTCTGTGAAAGAATTGGTATTTTTGAGTTAGTTTGATTGTACATGGATGATTCTGGAAGAATAGATTAGTTTAGCTAAACTTATATAAAAATAAACAGTTTCAGTCAAACTAGAATGATCATTCATCAAAAAGACATGGTCCATCTGGTGTACTTTTAGGATCTGGTTGTTGACTCCTTCATGTGTTTTGGCACTCCGAGCATGTCAGGAACTCCAGAGGAGATCAGACTGGAACCAGTTTCTAACAGCTGATGGAAATCAGAGTCAAAACACGAGATATGAAAACAAAACATTTTGTTTTCTGTGATGAAAAATGTTGCAACACAAAGTGGCCGTGGTGCTGGTGGGTCTCCCTCGGAAGGAAATGGTCCTGATCCGTCTGCCGGGCTTCTGTTCCTCTCCTGCAGGTCGAGGCTGGGTCTATTTGCTGGAAGCCACGTGGCATCTGGTTGTGTCTGAGCTGGAGGTCTGAGCAGAAGTTGTTGTCAGGTGTGCGGCTCCAGCCTCTCTGTGCCTGAAGAAACACGATAAGCTGTCAGGAAAACCTGGAGCTGCTGTGAGAGCATCCTCATGGTCCAACTTACTTTAGTTTCTTCATCAGAATAAACTTTCCAAGTTGTGACTTTGGATCCAGACATTTTTCTTTCCCCTGTTTAGTTGTGATGCTAGAATGGAAGGGAACGAGTTGAAGAGCAGCTGAGGATGTGTGCAACATCTGAAAGGACAGTTTACTGACATGATCTCCATGAGAGGACAGAAGCTACTCGGCTGATGAACCAGCGGCTCTCCCTGGATGAGCTTGGCGTTGAATCTGGCCAGTAAGCTGCTGGAACACTTGCATTTGTTGGACCTGTTGGATTGCTGCGCTGTGGAACGAACAGAAACATCTGACAGGTGAGAGGCTGCAGACCACCTCCTCAGGTGAGGCGTGGAGGTGAGAGAAGATGCGACCACACAGGAAGTGTTTTACCTTGTGCAGAGACGACGAGCAGGCAGGCGAGGAGACCCATCAGAGCTGATGTCATCGTGATGCTGCAGGTTTCCACCTCTGTGTGTGCTGTGGCTCTGGACTCCTGATGGTGTGAAGCAGCCAGCAGCTCTCGGATTTATAGAGAGGCTCGCTAATGACGAAATACTTTCACTTTTCTGGACTGCTTTCACTTTCGTTATCTCTTCCTCTTTCCTTTCACTAAGCCTGTTTCTTAGAACTGTCCTGAGGCCCATGATCCTGAAGGCCCACGCTGTGAGGTCACGACCCTGCGGGGGGAGGCAGTCTGCATGCATGACCAAGTCAGGTCAGAATCTATCTGAGCGGATTCTGGACCAGCATGTCATTGTGATGTGGGACAGTTGTTTACTTCTAAGGCTGAAGCTTAACGCTGCAGCGGTTTTAACCCTTTCATGCTAGTGGCCACCCCCAGGGGACTCACAACAGCTTCTTGGTTGTTGCATTTGAGCCCTTCCACCTGCCTCTGCTGAGTCAAGCCAACATGTGTCATGGTCAGAACGCATGCTGTCCACTGAGGTGGACATGTAATACATATTTGTAAATTAAATGTTTTAGTCTAATTTTGTTTCATTCATACCTAAAGATTGATATGAATGATGTCATAATTCATGCATGACAGGGTTAATTAGAGGAACGTGGGAAAGGTGAGGTTTGCTTCCAGGGAGAGATAGCTGTCGCCGTCTGCAGGATAGAATGACTCAGTGGTTTCAGTGCTGGTGTGTGTGTGTGTGTGTGTGTGTGTGTGTGTTGTAAGTTCAGCCTCAGGCCTGAACGAGCAGGTTTTCTACACTTTTAGAGGCCATGTCCAGGCAGCTGGGGTTCAAACCTGCAACCTTCTTGCTGCAAGTCAACAGTTCAGCGCACTAAATTCAATTCAATTCAAGTTTATTTATATAGCGCCAAATGAGGACCTTCACACAGTAAACCAATATTCCAATAACCAGTATTCCAATACAGGTCAGTTCATTTAGCCAATCAGAAGCCAGTTTCCTATATAAGGAACCCAGCAGGTCGCATCGAGTCACTGACTAGTGTCAGAGTCTTTACAGCAATCCTCATATCCTCACATCAATCCTGGGGCCATCGTCTAGCACACTGCTGCTAACCACTTAAACATTCTCCCTCTCCTGATAATAACTTTTTACTCTCTTTGACGTTGGACGTGCTACTGCTAGTTTATCCGTTTAATTATAGATCCACTAGGATAAATACAATAAAGTTTATCTCTCACCAAATACAATATTTACTAAGACATCACAATGTAACCGTAGAAACACTACTTGGTGTGTGTGTGTGTGTGTTGATGCTGTTCTAATGTGCTGTGCTGACACTCTGACTGCGAACGAAGATCCTAACGGATAAATCAAGTGAATTTGATTTTGATTAATTGAGTTGTAACAAAATCAAGGGCAGACTTTGTCTGAATGTTTGGATCCATCTCTGAAACTGTTTGATTTCAGTGAACTCGTCTGTAGCAGAGGAAATGGTTCAGCTTCACTTTCATTTCACTGTTCACAACAGATGTGCCTCGCCTCTCTCGGTACGATGAAGTGAAAGTGTTCCAGCTGGGACATGCTCCACAAGCCCCAGTCTCACAATGAGCTTCGTTTGAGTCCTGAAGATTAAAGATGAAACCCGTCTGCTGTGTGAGATCAAAGGTTTACTAGAGAAAACGAAAAAGGATTGAAAACAGTACTTAGATGCTAACTTGGCCGATGTTGTGACCTGATGACACATGGAGTCCAATTTCACACAAACAGGATGTGAAAGTGAAATAAGTGTGTGCTGAATTAGGGAAATCACCACGGTGGGGAAATGAGACAGTCTGCAAGACCCAACTGCCTGACATCAGTTGAAATAATATGTTAATGTAAACACATCAGGTTATAAGAAGTTACGCTGCTTCTAGAGGACATACTCCTGTAAACCTGGACATTAGAGGCCGTCACCTTAGGACCACTAATAACTGCTTAATTTTAAGGAATTCTGTTACCCTGACAGCAAAGATGTCTAAACATTTGTTATTTCAGTACGACTAGTTTAACAGTTTAATTTTTATATTTAGTTGAACTGTGAAATGAGCAGCATAAGCCGAATTCAGAAACTAATTGCTGAAGCTGCTGAAGTGAAGCTGAAACTAAGCTAAACTGTCAAAATGAGCTGAATGTATTTAAAGATGTAGAAGCAAAAATCACCAAAAAGTGTAATCAAGCTCACAATGTAGGTGAAGAATGGCGTAGAAAATGCTAAATAGGTAGGGGCTCTATAGGTGGGGGTCTATGCTCCCCCGCCACTGAGCGCCCTGACTTAGTGTGGAAGACCTGATGCTGCCGGGACAGACGGCTCCTCTGATGGCGTTTCCTTGCGTTACCATACTTGGCTCATCTGGACTCAGCCTAATATAATTTTTACTTGTGTGTGTGTGTGTGTGTGTGTGTGTGTGTGTGTGTGTGTGTGTGTGTGTGTGTGTGTGCGTGTGTGTGTGCGTGTGCTTGCATATGTTTGTTAATGTTTTTAACCTGTTATGGGAATCTGGGGTCATTTTGTAAAGCACTTTGAATCACACTTTGTTTGAAAAGCGCTTTAGAAATAAATTTGATGATGATGATGATGATGATGATGATGATGATGATAAACAGCAAACAGAAAACTGAAATCTTTGAACACTGTTTAAAAACTAGACCGTTGAAATGTTTAAACACCTAGCATTTGAGTAAGAATGTTTAAATAGTAAAATTTTCACAATTAGCTGAACTGTGAATTTAGAAACATTTGCTGATATCTGAAACTGATAGATTAACATATTTTCAGATTGTGTAATGGATGGATGGTTGGACGGATAAAATGATGGATGGATGGATGTTAGATGGTTTATTGGATGGATGAATGGATAAAATGATGGATGGATGGATGGATGGATGGATGGATGTTAGATGGTTTATTGGATGGATGAATGGATGGAAAGATGGATGGATGGATGGATGGATTCATTAGACCAAGACAATCAATTTGATGTATCACATGTGTGGGTGTGTACTTCCATTTAGCCAGAAGATTATTGAACTCTCTCAGCCAATCAGAGAGCTGGGATGGGGTTGGGCAGTTTCCCGCTCCTTTTCTGTGGCCGTCTCCAAGTTTAGGTCCTCCACCACCTCCCTTACCCATGGTGTCCCACAAGGTTCTGTGCTGGGGCCTCTGCTCTTCCTCCTCTATCTGCTTCCTCTTCAGCACATCCTGAGCTCCTTCAAAGGAATCTCCTACCATCTTTATGCAGATGACATCCAACTGTACATCTCCTTTAAGCCCCATGAGATGTCTAAGCTGCAGATGTTACACACCTGCTTAGACTCTATCAAAACCTGGATGGCTGGGAGCTTTCTTCAGCTGAATGAAGATAAGACTGAGATCCTCATCTGTGCCCCAGACAAGCTGGTTCCCAAAGTCAGAGACTCTCTTGGTCAGCTTGCTTCTCACACCAAACCCTCTGTCAGGAATCTTGGTGTGACCTTTGACCCAGCTCTCACCCTGGATTCTCATGTCAGTTCTCTTGTTGACTCTTCCTTCTTCCATCTCAGGAACATTGCTAAGCTGAGTCCCATTCTGTCCCGCACCAGGCTAAAGACCAAAGGTGACAGATCATCTGCTGCTGTGGCCCCCAGACTCTGGACCTCTCTCCCCCTGAGCCTGAGATCAGTGGACTCAGTGGTCTCCTTTAAAAAGCAGCTGAAGACTCACTTGTTCAAGCTGGCTTTTGGATGACCTTCTTCACCACTCTCTCTTTATTCTGCTCTCCCCACCTATTCCACCTTCCTCAGGATCCACTGGTTTCCCTCTTTCCTGTTCACTCTCTCTCTTTCTTAACATTTTTAATAACAATTGTCTATTTTTTGCTCATTTTAAATATATTTTTAACCATTTGTTTTTTCTTCTTCTTCTTCTTCAGTCCCACTGGACTGGCAAACCAGGGTGGTGTGTTACGTCCCCGACATGAGATGGTAAAATGTGAAGGATGGGGATAACATAAAAACTGGACAGTGGATATTAAAAGGGTTTTATTGTTATAAAAAAGGTTCCAAAAACGAGCAAAACAGACGATGAGCATTTTAAAGACAATGCAACGCACACAAACTCAAAAAGGTTAACGTTAAAAGACGAATGATCAACTATTAAAACACCTGGTTAAAACTTAGTTAAAAGTTCAACCGCAACGAAGGTGTTTAAAACCGAAGTCAATCATATTTCCACAAACGAAGTTAACCTTTAAAACAAACGAACACATGAACACAGGATCACACAAGAGTTTAAGCTTTAAAAGTTAAAGTTTTTAACCCTTTAACGCCGATGAGTCACCAGGATCACGGGTGACACATCGGCGCATGTGATTTCAAATAACTCCTCGCTACTTAAACTATAAAATTCTTAAAAAATACATAAAGGAGCTAATGTGTGGTGCTTAAAGGGGTAATGAAATCAAGGCCGTTTCATATTCTATTCTCCTCTGTAATCAGGCAGTGATCGAGGTCGCTTTTCTAAGAGAGACCTGATCGGAGAAACTCCTCCAAATGTCTGACTTGCCTTGCTTTGGTTTTTGTGTCATGAAGGCCTTGTTTGTGCTTCTTTTCAACATCAGTTGCCGACTCCATAATACTCATCCCGATCCCTGCGCTGTGCGTAAAATAAAATGTCAGTTCGTCTGCATGCGTCGGGGTGATTCTTTCTATTCTTTCTCCGTCAAAATAAACGGTCAAATACGGGAACTGTTCGGTGAACACAACACAAGCCCTGCTTTTGATTGTTTTGTTTTCTTGTGAAAATTATTGGAAAGAGATCAAATTTAACTTGATTAACACGGAGCCAGTGCGCCGTTATCTCCGTGACGGTAAATGAGGGAAAAACAAATTGATCGGATCCTGCACGTCTTTTAACACATTGGTCAGGATTGACGCACTTTGATTTCATTTAGTTGGTTAAAAAAAAGTCGGGCTCGGGTCGGGCCAGAGAGTCCTGAAAACCTTTTGGGCCGGGTCGGGCTGGGGCTCCACCCCCTCGGGCCGGGCCGGACACGGGCTCAGATTTTAGGCCCGTGCAGGG